TCTTAAACCAGTGGAGTCTGATGCCAATTCTGGGTGGTTAGCATCAGAACTGGATTATAGTACACTATTACATGCAAGACAAAATTTCTGTCTTTGAGATAGATATAGGTTTATCAGTAGGTCCATTCAGGACCACAGCCAACCCAGCAAGAACAAGGAGTGGAGTTTTTATTTTTATTTATTGTGCATCTTCAAAATATCATTATTAACATCTTTTCTTTTGGAACTTTCTTGGAGACAAACAAAACTAAACCCACACACAAAACAGTTAAGCTTCTGGAACAACTATGTGAAAATGGGTATACAGTTTGGACAGTTAAGCTTCATGTTTATCAAAATGAAAATGGGATAATTTCTAGTGGGTTTTAAAATTTTTAAATAGCCTTTCTTGTACAAAACAGTATGTGTTCACAGGAAGAAATAAAATGGAAATGTGAGAGATAAAATGAAGGTAGTATCATATAGTAGTGATCAGAGAAAACCATTATTTCTCATCTCCTTCCCCTTCCCACTTTATATATTAAAAGAGATCTTACCAGGTCAATAAATATCAAAAATTATAAAATATATGGATATCACAACATTTCATCACCAGGATATATCATAAACAGTCCCTAAGCCTGAACTAATTTATTTCCAATTTTCTGCTATAAAAAATGATGCTGTAATAAACATTCTTATAACTAATTCTCTACATGAAACTGTTACTATTTCTTTTCTTTTTTTATATAATTTTTTTTTTAAGATTTTATTTATTTATTTGAGAGACAGAGAGCATGAGAGGGAGGAGGGTCAGAGGGAGAAGCAGACTCCCTGCCGAGCAGGGAGACCGATGCGGGACTCGATCCCGGGACTCCAGGATCATGACCTGAGCCGAAGGCAGTCGCCCAACCAACTGAGCCACCCAGGCGCCCGAAACTGTTACTATTTCCTTAAGGTAAACTATGTGAAGTACAATTTCTAGGTCTAATGATACATTCTTCTTAATACAAATTTATACTCCTACCAACTTTGTATATAAAATACTTGTTTTCTATTTTTTTTTTAGATTTTTAAATTTATTTTTGAGTGGCGCCTGGGTGGCTCAGTCGTTAAGCGTCTGCCTTCAGCTCGGGTCATGATCCCGGGCCCTGGGATTGGGCCCTGCGTCGGGCTCCCTGCTCAGCGGGAAGCCTGCTTCTCCCTCTCCCACTCCCCCTGCTTGTGTTCCCTCTCTCGCTGTGTCTCTCTGTCAAATAAATAAATAAAATCTTTAAAAAAAAAAAAAATTTATTTTTGAGAGAGAGAGAGCGCACCGCACATGTGTGTGTGCATGAGTGGGGGGTAGGGGCAGAGGGAGAAGCAGACTCCCCACCGAGCGGAGAGCCTGATACAGGACTCAATCCAAGGACCCTGAGATCATGACCTGAGCCAAAGGCAGACGCTTAACTGACTGAGCCACCCAGGCGCCCTATACTTGTTTTCTATACTTGATAAGGTAAGGAAAGCTTTTCCCTTTGCCAATATAAGAGGCCAAACCATTTTCTCAGTGTTGCTTTAAAATGAACTTTTTAATAAATCAAATCTTTTTTTTTAAGATTTTTTATTTATTTGACAGAGAGAGATAGCGAGAGCAGGAACACAAGCAGTGGGAGAGGCAGAGGGAGAAGCAGACTCCCCACTGAGCAGGGAGCCCGATGCGGGGCTCGATCCCAGGACCCTGGGATCATGACCTGAGCCAAAGGCAGATGCTTAACGACTGAGCCACCCAGGTGCCCCATAAATCAAATCTTTTTAAAAATATTTTTTGGCAATTCTTTTCTTCCACAGACAACTTTCTGTTCATGCTCTTTGCCCATTTAACTTTGGGGCACGCATCTGTTTCTCACTAACTTATTAGAGTATGTATATATAATATAAAAAGTTTAAGCCTTTTTCACATACATCCAAATATATCCATAGTTTGTCATGATGCAGTTTAGGTCACTGTGAATAATACCATGTCTCTTTAGGAGTTTTATAAGTTGGCCACAGAAAATAGTCTTTATTAGGTTAACAGTCTATTATTTTAGGCTAAACATTTGTACTATACAGTAGTAACACAGAGCAATCAAGACCTAAAAAAAGCAAGTACTCAGAGTCACTAACAAAACCTAAAAAAAGCAACTATTCACAGCCACTACTCAAGTTAATGTAAAATAACCCATTAAACACAGATAACAGTTTTCTATTCCCAAATTGTATACACTTTAAACTCTAGAAAAAGTGTACTTATTCATTGCAACATAGGGATTTGGGATTTAACACTTACTTTACTTTTACTATCATTACTCTCAGAGTTTGCATACAAATTAAAGATTTTATCTTTTTCTAGAAATGTAAAATTTTACAAAAGTAAATGTACAAGGAATAAGGAGGGAGAAGATACATGAAGCCAAAAGGGGAAGAAAGAAAACTGATGTCACTAAAAAGTGAATCGTTAAAACCCATAAAGAACCTTAATCCTGAACACACAGAAAACTATATAGTTTTCTGAATGTTGCATCTTTTTGATTAGCTGATGAATGCATTTTTTTTAAAGATGATAGACCTCAGATTGTAAAAAAAAAAAAAAAAAAAAGACATGCCCTTAAATATATTTTATCATCCAGGGGCGTCTGGGTAGCTCAGTTGGTTGGGTGTCCGACTTCTTGATTTCAGCTTAGGTCATGATCTCAGGGTTGTGGGATCAAACCCTACTTTGGGCTCCCAGCTGGGCGTGGAGTCTGCTTGAGATTCTCTCTCCCTCTCCCCTTTTCTTTTGTTCTTCCTCTAATAAAAAAAATGTTTTATCATCCAAAATCTTAGTACTCAAATTATAAAGTATGTGTGTATGTATTAAGTTACATCAAACGTAAATCACCTTACAGAAAATAAAATTGTCTTCTATATCTAATGTTATGTAAATTATTAAAACAACAAATAAACAAACTTACCCTAGGAATTTGTAAGAATACCCTTATAATAATCCACAAGCCAACAGCACATTTAAGGCCCAGAAACTGGCCAAATACTACTACTTCCTGCCATTTTTTTTTTAATTTAGCTTTATGGCTGTTAACTTAAATGTTTCTTCATATTTATTAATAACTCAAAATTACTTGTTACAAAAATTAGTAAAAACCAGGGCGCCTGGGTGGCTCAGTTGGTTAAGCGACTGCCTTCGGCTCAGGTCATGATCCCGGAGTCCCTGGATCGAGTCCCACATCGGGCTCCCTGCTCGGCAGGGAGTCTGCTTCTCCCTCTGACCCTCCCCCCTCTCATGTGCTCTCTCTCATTCTCTCACACACACACACACAAAAATTAGTAAAAACCAAAACTGAACAAAACTGAATTTTCAAAGCGCTCATAATGATCTTAAAGAATGTCCAACTAAAGGAAACAACATCAAAATATTAACTGTCTTCAGGCAGTAGAACTAAGGGTGATTTCTCTTTCCTTCTCAACAGATTTTCTTAAATTCAGAAATGAATATCTATTATTTTTATAACTAAACTTTTTTTAGAAAAAGATGAAAGGTACCAAGTCAAATAACTAAAAGTAACTTCCTGATCTTCAAGCAACTGTCTCCTCAAATAGAGGGATAGTTTTTAAAATTTTACCCAGTGATAGCTGCTCAAAATAACGGCTACAACAAACACCTTGCACTTCATACAAGTAGAGTTACAGTAAGACAGTACAGTCTATTTTCATCTAAGTGGCAGGACTATATGCTTTGCTGCACATTGTTTCATCAGCCTGAAGGCTAAAATAAAAGTTACCTGTTATGGTAGAATTTAATTTTTAGGGAAAAAGTAATTATCTCCATAAACTAAATCCAGATTTTTCTCCCTTTTTAATGCTATAAAAGTAGTTACGATCAAATTAGAATATGTAGACAATATATGGAAATATTCACTATATCTTGATATACCGCAAAAACCCAGTCCCCTTTACCTTCACAATATAGTGCTAAAGACCACCCAAAAACAAACAAACAAACAAAACGAAACAAAAACCTGCTAGCCAAAAATAAAAAAAGAACTCAGATATGAAATGGAAAACTAAAGAACCAGTTAGGTTATTATTCTTAACCACATCAGGGCAAAATAGGCAAAGAAAAGATAGCCTGTCCTATTGTGGAAATAAAGCTGCTTTGTCTGCTACAACAAAAATTTTTAAGTCAACTATCTAGGGAAGCCAACTGCCAAAAGACAACTGGTTAAAGGAGAAATACAGAATCACCTGCTGCAATCCCAAGACACTCAAGGAGGTAAATCTTTGCTCCATCTCTTCTATTTCCAACTCAAAGAGAAACAGGGTGGGGCAAGATTCAGTAATCACAGCCAAGGATAAAGAATGTAATCACAAAATCTCAAGGACCAATCTTAACCCTAATTTGTGAAACTAAACCTAGAAGGAAAGTTTCTAATTATTTAAAAAAATGAAAACCAATATTATCCTATAAACTGATGAATTATCTAAAGATCAGTACAACTTAAAAAATAATAAGTTTTGATGTATTCTGAGGATTTTATTTTGCATATGTACTTAAATTCTGCTGAGTTGTTTTCTCAATTTTAATGAATAAATCTACCTCCTTTTTTATGGTTTCAATATTCATTTAAAATATGACAAAATAAGCATTATCTTAGTTTCAGCTCTGCCATAAAATAGTTTACTGGGCTTGACCAAGTGTCTGGGCCTAACTTTCTTCACTTACATACAGAAAGGTATTGGTCCAAATGACCTAAATGAACCCTTCCACTGTAAAATAATCATTCTATATTTCTTCATGATGACATCAAGTTATTCTGGGTCACATCCCCTTTAACTGAAGTTACACTGTCCCTAGATGAAAACAGTTGGTATATTCCTCTAGTCATTCACCACATCAACACTGGTGAAGACAGTACTACAGATTTACTCCCACCCCTACTCCATCACTTCATCCATCCTCCAGCACAACAAACCCATCACTACCTACTTATTAATTTACTTACAGAGGAAATGGGTAAACCAAGCCCCACTATGGAGAGGACAGTGGATGTGATGGTACTGTCATGGTACGGATACTGGATGCTGTTGTCTTTACAGAAAAAGCCTCTCTGAAATGGATTTATTTGGCTCAAACTTAGAACAGCCATAGGCATGGAAGCTGTTGGGGAAGGGAAAAAAGATACACATGGTTAAATTCAATTCACTTCATTAGGAAGTAAACTCTACTGAATGGGATACAAATCTTAACCATATTTGATCCTTTCTGAAAAGGATCAATATTTCAAGATACCCAAGAGTAGAGATAAAGGAAACCATGCAGCATTAGCTTGTCCATATCAGCCCCACCTTTATCAGGTATAAATTCTCTTGCTTGCGTTGACCTCTGATTTTAAAGACAATCAATAAAAGAAATACCCAGGGAAGAGAGCAAAATTGGCCCATAGAAAAATAAAGTTGAAAAAACAAGAAGGTTTTGTATTTTACATTTTGTAACTAGTTTATTTTTAATTGAATTGTTCGATATTTTAAATATGTTTAAGAGAAAAAGGGAAACCTGTAAATACATTTAATTATAAATAACATTGTAACAGCCAAAAATACTCGAGGGGAAAAATAGAAACTTTTGTTTCACATTAAAAATTAATAGGGTTAGGAAAAAATAGAAACTGTAAGTGTATTTGATAATAAAAACAGAAAGAAACTAGTCCTTTTTTCCCCCAAAGATAAATTTAAAATTTTTATTAGCCCTGCAAGGCTCCAAATCACTTGAGCCAATTATACAGGAATAATATCCATTTCAAATTTTTCGCCCAAGTAAAATGAAAGACCAAAGAGAAGTTAAATAACTTAAATATTTGAGTAGCTTCGTAGTATGTTCAAATTTACTATGTTTTTACGCTTTGTTTTATACAATTCAAACACCCTAGCATCTACTCACTATATGCTCAGTACTAGGTTAGGCCACACATAGGGAGACAAACTAATAAAAAAGAGACACTAGTTTCAAGAGCCTAAACCTCACGTGTAGAAACAGAATGTATATTAGAGGAAACTGTTTAAAATGCAATACCAAGATAGATATTTGGGGGTTGATGAAATTGTTCTGTATCTTGATTGTGATGGTTACCCATAACTCTAAGCATTTGTCAAAACTCACAGAATGTACATCAAAATAAGTGAATTTTACTGTATGTAAATTTACAAAGAAATACCATAAAAAAGAAAGTGTGACTAATTTCTAAAATGGTATAAAAGGTCCTATAGGAATTCAGAGGTCAACGTGAACTAGAGTAATTAGAAAAGACTATTTTTAAAAAGGCAACTGAGTTGAACCTGTAACTGCAGGTAAACCACAGGCAAAAGGGACGGGCTCAGGGAGAGCATTTAGTGGTACAAAGAAGCAAGGTCAGCATGAGGTTGCACTAACAAGAGCACAGAGGGAATGAGCAAGGAGTTTTCAAGGTACATAACATTTCAGAGCCAATGTGTATTGCATCTCACACATGCCAGGCACTGGGCTTCACAGATTAACTCCATCCTTACCTATAACCCTGCAGGTAATAGCACTTCTCCCATTTTCCACATAAAGTTATTATGAGGCTTAGACAAATGTGGACCCTTGCTGAAACAAATAAGGAGTAAAACCAGGATTCCAATACAGGCTGTTTCCAGTGTCAGTGTATATATGGCCTCCCATGGAGGAAAGTGATCTGGATAAATTAAGAGGTGAGAACTGTGACAAGATGATGAGACTGGGAGGTGGGAGACCGGTTGTTTGAAAAAGCTTGTTCAGTATAAAATACATATTATATTCATAATGAAAACTCAAAGTTAATGGAACAAAATGTTCTTTGCTACGGATAACTCTTAATTCTTCAATTCTGTGGTTTTTAATGGGAGGAAGAGGGCTTGAGATTTTTGCGTTTAATAAAAAGAATTATGTATTTAAAATACTGGCCTAGGGGCACCTGGGTGGCTCAGTCGTTAAGCATCTGCCTTTGGCTCAGGTCATGATTCCAGCATCCTGGGATCCAGCCCTGCATCCGGCTCCCTGCTCCACGGGAAGTCTGCTTCTCCCTCTCCCACTCCCCCTGCTTGTGTTCCCTCTCTCGCTGTATCTCTCTGTCAAATAAATAAATAAAATAAAATAAAATACTGGCCTAAAAAATGACTTTTCCTGTAGGAAATAAAATATCACTGCCCTCTTTGCTCAGTCAGGATCAGCAACAGGGTAAGATAAGGGATGCCAGAAATTAACTTAAAAAACAAAAACAAAAACAGGGGCTCCTGGGTGGCTCAGTCGTTAAGCATCTGCCTTCGGCTCAGGTCATGATCCCAGGGTCCTGGGGTCGAGCCCCACATCAGGCTCCCTGCTCCCCGGGAAGCCTGCTTCTCCCTCTCCCACTTCCCCTGCTTGTGTTCCCTCTCTCACTGTGTCTCTCTCTGTCAAATAAATAAATAAAATCTTTAAAAAAAAAAATAGTAGAAAGGAGACGATTTCATATAGCCTTGAAATAATCCAGTAATTAACAAATGAGTAGTGTGTTAACAGTGAAAACAGAAGAGAATGCATGAAGGAGTGTTCTGAATATAGAAATGACTTAACTTCATGCCTGATCACAAGGGCTGACGCAGACCTGAAGATGACGCTTCAGGGTTTGGAAGAGAGAAGAATGGTGGGCCCACTGACAGAAATGTGAAGCTGGGAGTGGGACATGGTTTATGGTGGAAGAAAATTAGTTTAGTATTGAGAATATTGCCTTTGGGGTGATCTGGTAACTTCTTAAATGCTCAGCTTCATCTCTGACTCTTCTCCAGGCAGCCCTTAAGACTCCAGAATGAACCATTTGCTGCTGCTGTCTTTTCATATTATGTTTTCAAAACCCCAGGTGCCTTCACATATGTTCAGCCTTCTACTAGGGATACTTGCCTTCTCATTTCCCCTTCAGTCCAAGGCAGGCACACCCTATGTATCAGTCCCATGGCAACTCACACACACATCTATCGTGCTATATTTTATATTGCCTGTGACATTCTGTCACCAACTTGAAGGCAAAGACTCTATCATTCTCATATGCTTTGCACCAGGCACAAATACAGTTGGCTCTGAATAAAAATACACTAAACAGCTATAATGGGTAACGATCAGAAGTAGGGAGGGTATGATACCCAAGACACTGGCATTAGAGATGGTAACTTAAGCCAGGGGAATCCAACAGTTCAGGAACAGCCTAAAATCAAAAGTAACAGAGATAAAACAATCAGCTAATGACTAAATATCCATAATGAAATCATGAACAGAGACTGTAGGAGAGAAAGGAAGAGAGGATGACCACATGCTCTAGAGGGCAGGGGTTGTGTCTGTTTTGTTCAGCAGCACACAGTGGCCATTCTTGCCAAAGAATGAACAACAGAGAAGTAGGGCAATGTTGTGATACAAAAGCCAAGAGAAGTAGCTTAGAGTAACAAGTCTATATCCAGGCAAAGGTAGGATGTCAAATACTAAGACATCAAGGAGAGTGAGAACTGAGTGGTCTCTGAGGTCTGAGGAAAAAGGGATCTTTGGTCACCACCCTTTTATTATAATACTATACCACCTCCACTAACAGAGCAATATCTTTATGAAGAAACTTCAATAATGAACTTCAATACTGGGTTGTCAATGTCTAAGCATGAATATCTTTCGTCAAGTTAAATATATCACAATTATTTCCTCTACTGCTCATACATTTTATATATACCTATGTATACAAGCACATCCCCATGAACTGAATTCTGTGGCCCCCAGAATTCTTATTTTGGAGCTCTAACCTCCAATTTTATCATATTTGGAGACAGGTTTTTTAGGAGGTAATTAGGGTTAAATGAGATCATAAATCTAGTAACTTAATCCAGTAAGACTGGTCTCATAAGAAGAGGAAAACAAATAGATCTCTCTCTCTCTCACTCCATGTCATGCACCAAGGAAAGGCCATGACAGGACACAGGAAAACGCAGCCATCTATAGGCCAGGAAGAGAGTCCTCACCTAAACCCAATCATGCTGGCATCCCGATATCAGAATTCTAGCCTCCAGAACTGTGAAAAACTAAACTTCTGTTGCTTAAGCCACCCAGTCTATGGCATACGGTTACAGCAGCCCAAGAAGAGTAAGACAGATCACAAACACATACACGCGCGCGCGTGCACACACACACAGGCAAATCTAACCCCCCAGAGTAAACAAATATCTCTATTTTAAGAAGCAATGGAATGGGGTGGTTGGGTGATGGACACTGGGGAGGGTATGTGCTGTGGTATGTGCTGTGTATTGTGTAAGACCGATGAACCACAGACCTGTACCCCTGAAACAAATAATACATTACATGTTAATAAAAAAAGGAAAAAAGTGGGCGCCTGGGTGGCTCAGTTGGTTGAGCGACTGCCTTCAGCTCAGGTCATGATCCTCGAGTCCCGGGATCGAGTCCCGCATCGGGCTCCCTGCTCGGCAGGGGGTCTGCTTCTCCCTCTGACCCTCCTCCCTCTCATGCTCTCTGTCTCTCATTCTCCCTCTCTCAAATAAATAAATAAAATCTTTAAGAAAAAAAGTAATGGAATATTCTCTGCTGTAGAGATTCTTTTCTTTTTCTTTTTTTTTTTTTTAAAGATTTTATTTATTTATTTGACAGAGAGAGACACAGTGAGAGAGGGAACACAAGCAGGGGGAATGGGAGAGGGAGAAGCAGGCTTCCCGTTGAGCAGGGAGCCCGATGTGGGGCTCAATCCCAGGACCCTGGGATCATGACCTGAGCCGAAGGCAGATGCTTAACCAATGAGCCACCCAGGCGCCCTGAGATTATTTTCAATAGTAATTTTTTGGGATAGTAATGGAGAGTACTGTGTCCAAGTTAGTATTATAGAAAGATGCTTCTCGAAATAAACCCTTTCACAGAATAGGTATATCCTTATATAAAGGATATAGAAACTATTTTTGACCCTAATCATAATTCTAGGGTATTTTTTTCTTACTTAAAATTTCCATACGAGAAGTCACTTTTTAAAAGTTCTTGCTAAACATCTTTCAGTCTTCTAAACACACTTGTTAGCTACTATATGTCTGCTCTTAGTGCATCCCTTCTAAGACACACTGAGGAAGATAGATAAATGAATACCTCGATAG